AGGCGCCCACCAGCCGCCCCGTGTGAATTGCAGTGCACACTCGCGGATGGTAATAACGGCAATTTTGCCTCCAGCCGGCCGCCTCATCTCGCATTCACGTGTAAGTTCCTTTAATAATAACACACGACGGCCGGGCAGGAATGCAGCCCGCGGTGTTCCGGACATTGTGGGGCGTGGCGGGGCGGGGCGGGGCGGGGCGTGGTGGCCTGCAGAGCGCGAGCGGGGCCTTCTCGCAGTCGTTGAATGTGTATCCAAGCCGAACGGGCAGAGTGAAAAGGGTAGTAACTTTTAATCCTGCATGGATGAAAGTAGCATAACAATTTTTTATTGAGAAAAAAAATCTCTTAAAGAGAGTGGTGAAGTTATCAAAAGTTATACGACATATACTATACACTGTGGTTAACTCTGAAAAATGTTTGTACCTCTCACGGGAAATTCTTTATTATTTTTAAATTGATAATTTTTTTAAAAAAATGAAAATTAATAAAAGCATTTTTCTGAGTGTTTGTTGGAGTTTGCCTTTTTGCCGTGTGGAGCACCTTTCGCCAGGCGGCCAGGCCCGGTCCGTCACGCGAAAGGAGTTGTCGGTTCCTTACGAGCCCGCAGAAGGGGCCGTAACCGACGCATATGCAGCCCATACATATACACCACTTTCCACACTTGAGGCTCCCCGGACGCGTCGGCTCGGGTGGGTGGTGTGCGCGCGAAGGGCGGAGGGGTGGGAGCAAAAGGGAGTTGGAAGAGGCCCCGCTTAGCCATAGTCACCCCCTCCCCCTTTCCCTCGTGATAATTACGGTCCAGTTATTAACGAGAGCGGTGTATGATTACGGGACTCACTAAAATAAAATTAATTCCACGTTGTTATTTGTTATTATGACTCAACCGGCTCTGAGAGGAAACTTATTGATACATTTAATCCGTGCTCTCACGTTAATAAAATTGCATAACAAAAGTCAGACACTGTATATTTTAATTTTAAAACATCGCTGTCTCACACTACTGTTGTACTGTCGTTTTTTAACTGTGTGTGGATTTTTGAAAAATACGGCTGAGCAAAAAAATTAAAACTTACCAGAAATTCCATCGTAGGTCCACCACTCCTCCCAGCTTACGCCGACCGCTACAGCAAAAACTGTAAGGAAAAAATTAAAGAAGAATTGAGCCGGTTGATTCGTGTAACAGTTTCCGTTTGTTTTTGTAAATCCTAATGACACACTTTGTCCGAGATGCCCGCAGAAAAAGATCCGCAACTCCTCTAATGCTTCAGGAAAAGAAAACGTTTTCCGTCGCCTAGATAAAGGTGCGGTGCACACAAGAGACGTCCTTGGAAAACTTTAATTCCCCTGCCGGACCGGAGAGAGAAAGACTTATGTTTATAGCGGGAGGGAAGGAGTAAGAGAGATGGGGAAGAGAAAATGGAGAAAGTGCCTGTGGGAAACATTTCCGCCGATGGGGCGTGCGTCTTGCAACAAGAGCATGACGAGCACGCTCTCTCTCTCCCTCTCTCACATACACTTACACGCACACACACACACACACACACACACATCCGCGCGCCCTTTTTCCAAATCACAAGCTTGATCTCGTCCGGCTGCTCGAGCCGCGTCCCGTGGGGAGTCTCCTTGGAGATGAGGGAAGGCAGGGAGAGGAGAGGGAGTGAGTTAAGGGGATGAGGTGGGAGTGAGAGAGAAGAGAGAGAGACAGACAGACAGGAGAGACAGAGAGAGAGAAAGCGCATCCTGGGGGATGAGCGGCGTGGCGGCGGTGAGAGAGGAAGCACGGGGAAATTCTGGAAAACACGAGACCGACTTACGGAAAGAATGACATTGTAATTCCTCGGCGAAGGCTTTACATACTGACGTAGGATGCGCCCGGCGGCCCCGGCCCTCGCCGCGGAAGTTTCTCATTGTTTCGCGTTCCGGATACGGTTTGCCCCGGCCCGCCCGCGCCGTCTCCGGCGTCTCCAGCTTCCGCTCCCACCTTTATCCTTCTTATATTAGTTGGACCCCAGTGGCGCGGCATCGTGGCGGCGCTTCCAAAACCTTTTCATCCTCCTTGCTATTGCATTTTTATTTCTCTGGAAACCCAAGTGTGTACATGTATGCGTTATTTACTGAATACCTACATGTATGCAGCAAATACTGCATACATGATCATGTATGCAGCAAATAGTGTGTACATGACATGTATGCAGCAAATACTGCATACATGGCCATGTACACACGTAGAGCTCTATGCTAAAAGCTATGTGCCGAAGTGTGTACCTGCCCATGTATGCAGTATTTGCTGCATACATGTCATGTACACACTATTTGCTGCATACATGATCATGTATGCAGTATTTGCTGCATACATGTAGGTATTCAGTAAATAACGCATACATGTACACACTTGGGTTTCCAGAGTTGCTGCTTGAGTAACACATTTCAGAAATATCAAAATCGTCTCCCAGCTTAATTTCTTATCTTCGATTTTAGAACAATTATACACATTCAATACTTCGTGTTCGTGTCAGGGATCTTCCAGAAAGTACGTTCCTTTTTTTTCTCAGATTCATTCGGCAAATATCAGCACCTCGGCGCCTGCGAGACCCGGGTTAGGCCATCCCGCAGTACGCGCATGCACTGCAGACTGGTTGTTGCCTACCTACCAGGCGCTATGAGAGCTTACTCAGGCTGAACTTGGCAACTTCATGCCGGAGATTGACTCAATCGATTGACGGACGTACTTTCTAGGGATACTCCCTGGATGCTGGGATATCTTTCAACATAGTTTTCATGAGCAAAAGCAAAAGCCACCCCGTTTTTTTTTTGTTTTTTTTGTTTTTTTTCAGGTCTCATTTGACCCACAACACAATTAAATCAATACCCCTTTGGATACTGCAGATTTTTTCCCAATGAAGTGTGAAGCTTTTGCTCGTGTTTTTTGGCAGTGCCGTCCTGATCGTGTGTGAACAACATCATCGCGTGGGCGCCACAAATACTGCCGCACACTCACACACCAGGGGGGGATTCTGCGGAATGGCGCGGCGGAGGAGTTTGGTGGGCAAATCGTTTTGCAGTAGTAGGGAGTGGAGAGGGTGGGGGTGGCGGAGGCAGCAAGCGCATCCCACGCGCCAGCAGCAGAGCCGAGGGGCGCGCAGAACAGGGCGGCGCGGGGCGCTCGGCTCGCGTGAGCCAATAACGTGATACAATGCCCAAGTGATTTTGGTTCCACGTGATTTGAGGCGCGCGCGCGAGGCGAAGACGCGAGGAGGCCGTGGCGGGGCGGGGGAAGGGGGAAGGGTACGGCAGACGCGCTCGTTTTGAAAAATGCCGCTTTTTTACTCCTTTCACTTTGGGGCGCCAGGTGGCCGGGCCGGGCCGCCGGGCCCTTGGCCGGGGCGTGCCCTTTCTTCCCTCGGGCCCTCGAGAGAGAGAGGAGAGGAGGGGGGAGGGGGATCTTTTT